GGAGGGGCGCACGCAGGCCGCCGGGCCTCCGGCGTGCTGGGCCGCACTGGTGCCCGATCGGGCATCGGCGACTAGAGGAGGCCGGAGACGATCGCTGGCCGGCGGCGATAGGCGTGTAGGGTTGTCCGCAGCCCTCCGCAGGGAGAACAAACGGCGAGTTGGCAGCCAGGGCTCGGCTGGGTGTCCAGACAGGTGATCGTTGGTGCAGCAGCGGCTCCAGACTCGCTCCGGGGTCCCTCCCGGGACTGATGCCCACAAATATGCGGAATTACCGGCCGGGTCGCTCCTAAAGCCAGCTCCGGGGAGCGAGCGCGGCCGCGGCCAGCACGGGGAACGCACCAAGGAAGCCCAGCCCCCGCCCTCCGCCCCTTCCGTCCCCACCCCCTACCCGGCGGCCCAGGAGGCTCCCGGCGCGGCGGGCGCGCACTCCCTGTTCCTCCCCGCCGTCGTCGCCTGCGCTGCACTCTCTGCTCGCGCCGGGCGCGCTCCGCCGGCTCCCGGCTCTCCGCGCCACCCTCCTCCGGGCCGCGTTCCCTGAGGGATGGTACTGAATTTCGCCGCCACAGGAGCCCGGCTGGAGCGCCCGCCCCGCGGCCTCGCCTCCCTGCCGAGCCGCCAGCGCCTCGGGACGCGATGAGGACCTGGGCTTGCCTGCTGCTCCTCGGCTGCGGATACCTCGCCCATGCCCTGGCCGAGGTGGGTGCCACCCCCGCGCCCCGTCGTCCCCTCTGATGACCCCCCTCCCCAACCCGCCCTCCCCTCCCCCGGCGCACGCCCCCCTCGGCCGCCCGCGGGGCCGGGGCGCTCCGGGCTCTGCGGAGAGCATTTTGATTTTGCTTAGAGGGGCTGATTTTTTTTTCAAAAACATTTCCCGACTGGGTTCTATTTTCTGCCATGCCCAAGTGTTGTCTGGTGAGTTTCCAGCGTGTTGCGTCTCTCTGCCTTGGAGGGACGGGGAACGGCGAGGTGGACGAGAGGGGAGAAAGTTCGGGGGGCGCGGGCGCGTCTCCAGAGCGGTGGCTTGGGGGGGGCGCAGCGGGTTCTGCAGTAACGGGGTGCGGGGAAAGGGGGTGTGTATGTGTGTGAAAGACGGTGCCAGGCGTAGGTGGGGAATACGGCGGCTCGTGAACAGGTAGAGGCGCCTGCGGTGGGCGCTTTGAGGGTGGGCAGCGGAGAAGCACAGTCCCGGGTTCTCCGTCTCCAAGCTCAGCTGGGCGCCGGGCCCGAGCAAGTCCCGCCCGCCCCGGGGCCTGCTTACAGGTGGCTGAGCTAGGCAGCGGAGGCCCGGCCAGGCGCCCGCGCCCTCCCACCGCTGGGGTACCCTCCCCTCCCCACGTATCCCACGAGTCCCCGGGAGCTTTGCTGTGATGAATGAGTTTCCCCAGCCCCTGTCGTGGGAACTTAGTGCTTGAGCCACCGCCCCCTCCCATCCGCCCCCCCAGCGACCCCGGACTCCCTGTAAAAAGATCAGGAGGGAGAATGGGGCGGGGGGGGGCGAAGGGGGGGAGAGGGAGGCCGGGTGGTGGGAGTGGTCCGGGCCGGGCTGGGTAAAAGCCTCGAGGTGTGTATTTAACCCTTGCTTTCCCGGTAGCCTCTTCTAGCCCCTGGCTGGTTTGGGGAGTCCTTGTCGGCGCTAGGGCCGCGTCTGGGCCGGAGCCGGGTGGGGCGAGCTCGGGCGCGCGCGTGCGTGCGTGTGTTGGCGAGGGGGAGACCCTCTGTCTCGGCCCCAGGATTCTGGGGCGTGAAATTTAAGCCTCCTGGCTAGATTTAAAGTGTTGGAGCTGCCGTGACTATTCGTCGTCGATCCGTGACGCATTTCGACCCCGTTCTTTCTGGATGTCGATTTGACTATTAAACCAGAAACTCCGAGGCTCCCTCGGCTGCCCCCTCCCCCGCCATACCTCCAGTAACTGATCCCCTGGGGAGGGCTGGGGTGGTTTTATTTTGGTGGCTGTTTTGATTGTCTCAACATGAAGAGGAGGTGGTTGGGGGGCTTGTTTTTGCAAAGGTCAGGTTGGGATGGGGTTGGAGGACTTGGGAGTCCCACCCACCCAGCCCCACCCCAGCCTCCCTCTCCTGGGCCCAGAGGGAATCTGCAGGGGTCGGGCGGGGCCGCGCGCGGCTCGCGTGGATCTCTCAGGCCGGGACCGTGGCCCTGGGCTGGCGCTGGCTGACCGTGTGATCTGCTTGCAGGAAGCGGAGATCCCCCGTGAGCTGATCGAGCGGCTGGCTCGCAGTCAGATCCACAGCATCCGGGACCTGCAGCGACTCCTGGAGATAGACTCCGTAGGTAAATCGCGCCCCTGCCCTTGGCGCGGGGAGGGCGCGGGTGGCGTGCGGAGAGGGCTGCGCAGAGAGCCGGCCCCCGCACTCGGCCAGGCCGGGCGCCGCGCGCAGGAGCGCACCGAAAGGTCAGAATCCACTCCTCGGCCATAAACGCCCAGGCGCATGAGTCAGGCGTTTCTCCTCCAGTCGCCACTTTCTCTCCCAGCGGTGGCCCGAGGGCTGCGTGCTTGCTCCAGGATTTAACCAAAACTGCCGCGTGTGTCACCCAAAGTTCACAGAGGGCGCCGGCGCTCCGGCCAGGTGTGCGAGCCAACGCGTGCCCGGGGAAACCAGGAGCGGCCCGATCCAGAAGGATGATGGGTGGGCGTGCAGCCCTGAGCCCCGGGTGACAGGCAGTCCTTCGCGGGACGAGGTCCCCCAGGGTGCGCGCGGGCCGTCTGCGGCTGGTCAGCGCCCCTTTGTGAGCCCTGTGAGCTGCGGGTTGGGCTCCAGTGGCTGCAGGCAGCCGGTAGATTGCTTTTGTTGTTGTTTTTCTCTCCCCTCTTTTCAAGTCTCAGTGAAAAGGCGCTTCCTTAGACGCACGTGCTCTGGGCTATTTTGGGGGGCTCACCCTCAGGGCCTGGAGCCAAGCCACTTTAGAAAATAGCTTACTTGTAAACGCAGAGTTTGAAAGGGTCTGGCTGGTTTAAAGGCATGGACTAAACCTAGACCCGCTATTGAGATACGGGGTGGTGGGGATGGTGGAGAGGGGGTGTTGGAGGTGTGTGTGTGTGTGTGTGTGTGTGTGTGTGTGTTGTGTAGGACAAGGACTTCTCCTTTGTGTTACCCTTTTCCAAAATTAACACTTGGCTGGAAGCTCCAGGACTTTGCTGAACTTTTCAGTGTCTTCAGGAGACCCTGGAGAAAACTTAGCTGAACAGAGCCTGAGATGAGCTTGTCTGAAAAAGGAACGAAAGGCAGCCAGAGTGAAGAATTTTAAAGCTAATTACCCCCCCCCTTTCTATTCAGCAAGGGGGGTGGGGTGGGTGGGTTAGAGGAATTAAGTAAAATCACATGGTCTAGTCATTTGGAAATTTGTACCTAATTATGGTGGTAGGGAGGCCCAAACTGTTTTCATTCCATGCCAAAACCATTTTCTAAGGAGGCCGCTGGTTTCTCCAGTTTCTTGACCCAGGAAATCCTTTGCCTGATCCTTATCAGGAGTCGGGTAGGATTTCACTTGGAGATCAGAGTTGGGCCAGGAGGATTTTGATCTGGTCCCTTGATCTGCAAGCCTGGAGGAGAGAAGCTGGCCTGGGGGTAGCTGGGCAAACACTCTTTCTCAGTGATTTGAGGGTCCCCAGATGACTTTGAAGATGGTGTACCTCCCTGAGGTGGTCCCCCTGGCTCAGCTTGGCCCCTCCAGAAGTGAGGCCCAGAGTCCTGCTTCTCCAGGCTTTAAATGCCTTGGGGAAATCAGCCATTCACTTTCTGTTCTGACCATTCTTATTCAGGTTGCTGCAGCCCCGCCTCCCCCACCCCCACCCATTAATTCCTTTTACTTTGTCCTTCTGTGCTGTTTTGCTCTTGGTATCCTAGCCTAGGGGCTTCTGGGCTGGGGCCTCTCCTGTAGTGAGTCCAGACAGGACTTACTGCTCACCTACTCCTGGCCAGGCTGGATTCAAATTGCCCAAGTAAGAATGTCTCTTCTTCTGTCCTGAGGGAAGGCAGAGGTGGAACTGACCTGCTTTCCTTCCAAACACCTGCCTGGCAATTTGAAGTATGAATGGGAAACTGAGAGCCAAGTTAGGGGGTTTCTGGTGTCCTCCTTGCTCCCCAGTCTTGACTGGGGACTTCTTTATGGGGACACAAACCTCCATGTAGGTTTCTTTCCTGCTGGACTCCCATCTCTGGTCTGAGGACAGTAGTTGCTGTTGCTGGCTCCTGAGATTTTATTGGGGGTATCCCCCCAATAGAATGTTGACAGTTATGTGCCCTCTTGGCTGTACTTTCTCTTTAGGTCTAGTCAGGGCTGCCTGGCCTGTTACTGTGTCCTTGTGAGAGCTTATGACTGTTTAGGGGACTGGTGAGGAAGGGGGTGGGGGAGAGCTGGTCCAGGGGGAAAACTAGTTTGATTTACCCCACTTGGATTTTCCCAAAGGTGTCTACTCTTAGGTGGGCTCTCAGTGTTTCTCTGTCTAGCCTCAGATGAAGCTTGCCAGAGGAGAGCAGGTTTTTGGGGGTATCCCAGCTCCCTCCATCATCTTCTCATTCTTAGTAGGTGGAGCTTTGTGATTGGCATATAACTTATCCACGGAGCTTGCAGCATCCCATTTTATAGATGGAGATGGGGGGAGGAAGGGACTTGCTCCCAGCCTTGTTGCTGCTTCTGGGCTGTTTGATGGGAGCTTTTGTTCTGGTCCACAGGGAGCACAAAGTGACCTTTCCCATGTGGCCGTTGGATGCAGACATCAGTGTGTCCATGATTCTGCCAGGGACAGTAGTGATGGGTTTGGGGTTCCCCACTGTCTTGTAGGTGTGGTGTGGAACCATGAGCTTTGTTCTCCAGAGTGGGCTGGTCAGGTAGGTGCCCATGGGCCATTGAATAACTGTTACATAAACATCCCAGTCCTGGGCCATTAACACCCAACTAGGACAGGGTTGATGGAGTCACTCTGTCCTCAGAGTTCATGTGGACATCTGTGCAAAATAGAGACCTTGATTAACTGTCCTACACTGTTTCATGGCTTAGCTTTTAAGTTCCTGCTGGAGTGAAGCAGTTCTCAGCTCGTTTCCCACACTACTTCCCAACGAGTGTGGGGTAGTGCTTGGCTGGTGATCGGGGACAGAATGGCTTTGTTTGACCAGGACTTGTGTTGTCAGTCTTGCTGTTCTTGGTTATCAGTGGCACTGATAGACTGTCAGGGTAGTGGTCCTGTCTGCATTAGTTCAGCCTAGAGTCTTGGGTTGGGCTTTGTATGCTGGATGCTGGCCTTGATGGATCCCTTAGCTAGGAGTCTTTGTTTTCCTTTTCTTGTGTTGGTACTGGGGCTTGAATTCAGGGCAAGGGGTGGACTTTTCACTCAAGGCTCGTACTTCCAGCATTGTGCTGGTTAGTTGGAGTCTTGTGGATTTTCTTGCCTGGGCTGGCTTTGAACCAGGATCCTCAGATCTCAGCCTCCTAAGTAGCTAGGATGACAGGCACGAGCCACCAGTATCAGGCTGCTGCTGCTGCTGCTGCTTTTATTTGGTGGTGATGATGGGGTTAGAACTCTGGACCCTGTGCACTACCACTTGAACCATGCTTCTAGTCTGGGTTTTTTTTGGCTGGTTAATTGGAGATGCAGGCTACCCAACTTTTTTTGCTTGCTGGCTTTGAACTATGACCCTCTAAGTCTCAGCTTTCTAAGTGGCTAGGATTATAATCATGGGCCACTGGCGCTCAGCTCTTTGTTGTCTTTTCTGTGGGCCTCAGTTTCCTTGGCCAATAGTATCTATTACTAGTAGTTGTATGAGACTCAATGTGGGTGACACAGAAAA